GGGGGGGGGGGGGGGGGGCTCAGGCAGACCCCCTGTACTGGGCCCGGGCCCCATTAAGTTAGCAGGGGGCCCTGAGCCCGGCAGGGGATGGCTCTAGTGAAGGAGGATGGGCCTGACCACTTGCTATAGTAACCAGTTGGACAGGCACCTCCTCTTCTCTATAGGTGTCTGGGCCCTGTGCAGGGAATGAGGAGACAAGCCCGTCAATTAACTGGTTACCATGGTGAGTGGGCGGGGACATCCGCTGGGCAGGCCGCCTGGACTGTGCTTAGGCTCCGCCCCTGTACCGCCCACAAACAATGGTGTCTCCGCAGTAGGCTGCACGGGGCGAGCAGTGCAAGAAGAGGGATTGAAAAGTGTGCAGAAGTTAATAATGATGGAAGATGCACTGACCGTGGTTGCAATGCTCTGCAGGCTTCCATACAATAAAGCAGTACATTCAAACTGATGACAGAATCATTGTTGTTTCATTTACTCCTTTTTTTTTTTTTAAAGTGGACGGAGCCTTTAAGTTCCAATCTGCACATTTGCTCCGGGTCAGTGACTCAGAGTACAGAAGCCGGCGATCGGCGATGGCAGCCCCATGAGAAACTTAATTGGCAGCTCTGCTGGAAGGAGCGGTCTAAGGTCCCGGGAGTCATCACGTTCTATACAAAGTGTATAGGACATGAGGATGCTGGAGCGTCAGTATAACTATTATGTTCCTCCCTAGACCAAAACAAGCATTTAACCCTTTAATGCAGGGGTAGCCCCACCTGGAAGGGTTAATACGTTTTGCCCAGAGTTCTCCTTTACAGAGTCAAGAAACAGTTTCTTCACTTGACTAGAAAACAAAAGCAAAAAGCCTCAAACATTTTAGGCGCCGGTCTGTTTTTTTCAGCCGCGCCGGCTACATGGAGGGTCCTAAAGTGAAAGCAGATTTTTGATGGGTTTTGGCAGATCGTCGCCCTTTGCCAGAAATAAGAAATTTGCTTTTAAGAAAAACTGCCCGAAGAGCTATGTGGGGGCTGTTATGTCTGACTGAAAATGCTAATTATCTGGCTGTAAGGCTCAGCGTCGCACAATATGGCAAACGTTCCGAAAACTGTATTAGGCCCTCTTCATGCGGGCTGATCAGGAGAGGATCCATGCACAGACCCCCTTCTGATCGGAGCGATACCGCTGTGACATGCCAGTCCAGATTTTTCCCTAACTTAAAATTACTGGACCCCATGTCGGTCTATGGGGAAATCGGATGTAAACAGACACGTGTCCCCGGTCCGGCACGATCAGGTCCGGCGAAACGGAACACAGTTCCATTTGTTTTTCTGGACCAGGCCGGAGTCGGGGGTAACCAGGTGTAAACAGACTCCCGTCCATTTAAACCTAGCTGCCCATAGACTAGCATTGGGCATCCGATCGGACCGCCCGTGTGAAAGGGGCCTTAGTTCTGCTTCATAAAACACCTGGTGATCCTGCCATGAAGATCCTTGTTCCCGTACTTCCTGTTTCGAGGAGGACAGCTGTCTCCCACTTGTTCTCCTGAACTGTCACCCTGTCACATGCACCCCTGGTAGAGACTACAAGGGGCCGTGTGCGGGCACGCATTGGTCTGGCATTGTGCACCGTTGTCACCATCAGAAATCCAGTCTAGAACAATGATGTGCAGCCAATGCCGGAGTAAGTGCATGTAGACAGGAAGTGGCTATAAAGGGCAGGAGGTGGTCAGTAGCATTTAAATTAACGTCACCCATTTAGGGTTTTGATCTTCTTCCAGCATGCAGGAAAAGGCAGATATATTGGCTCAGGGTTCCAGCCACCCATTTAGGGTTTTGATCTTCTTCCAGGAGCCAGAAAAAAGGCAGATATATCAGCTCAGGGTTCCCCTTAAACAGACCGGCGGGATAAATAAAAAGGTATGACCTACATAATGACAACTAAAAGTCTGCATGTTATGAGATTAAAGCAGCACAGA